TACTTGGTCGGGTCTGAGTGGCTGTGGGACTGGCAGGTGAGAGAGATTTGTCCTGATTGTGGGCCAGGCAGGAAAACTCTAGCTACACCTCACTTTACTTTTTATTTTGCAGTTGGGTCCCACTAAGTCTCAGGGCTGGTCTTGACTTCTCTCTTCAGGAGGACAGATAGGGGGCACTTCAAATTTTGCATTATGAAGATACACATGTACTCCATGTTGTAAAATGGACCGTCACACACAAGAAACAGTTTGTCTGTTCTGTGTTGTCTGTTTGACTAAGCCCAAACATCTACAGAATGAGGGAGGACAGACGAGATGACATGAGGAGAGAGACAGGAGGGCTGCAAGGGCCTCGGTTTCACAGCAATGACTGCTGAGTGGGGACTTCCTGGGATTTCACTGGTGCTAATGTTGTCGTCTTTCGGGGGATGGTGACAGCCTTTCCCTGTCACCTGTGCTGTTGCCCTTTTTTTGTCTTGTGGCTGTCACCACATCATTATTAATATTATCGTCATCATTACACCCACTCTTTGCTAAAAGGCAGAGAAATGATTATCATTATTGTGATTATTATTATTTGCTGTATTGGAGGTTAAACCCAGGGCCTCATACAGACTGGGCGGATGTTCTTTCAAAGATCTACAGCCTTCACCTCTGGAGCTTTCTCTTCCTCTCCTCCTCCTATTTCCTCCTCTTTTAACAGAGACAGGGTCTCGTAATAGCCTAGGCTGGCTTTGAATTCACTATGTAACCAAGGTTGGCCTTGAATTTCTGCCTCAGGCTCCTCAGCGCTGAGATTACAAGCATGCACCACCACAACTAGCTGTTTTTATTGTTGGGATCATGCTGGCCCCAAGTCTGAGATCCTCCTGCCTCAGTCTCCTGAGTGCTGGGATTCCTCTTATCATGAGGAGTCACCTTGTAGAGTTCATACCTGTGAGATAGAACCGGCCAAAGCTAAAACCATCAGATGCCACTGTCAACCTATGGAATAGCCTTGCTTGCTTGCTTGTTTGTTTGGAGACAGGATCTCACTTTGTAGCAGTGGCCTGCCTGGAACCTGCTATGTAGATTAGGCTAGCTTCAAATTCACAGAGATCCATCTGCCTCTGCCTCCCAGGTGCTGGCATAAAGGTGTGAACCACACAGTTCAGTTGGGTGCGGTGGCAGTAGGGAGGCAGGAGCAGGTGGATCTCTGTGAGTTGAAGTCTACGTAGTGAGTTCCAGGACAGCCAGCACTACATAGAGAGCCTTGTCTCAGAAACAACAAACAAAAGAATCCCAAAATTACTAAAAAGAAAATGAAGTGTATGGGTCTATAGTTCTCAACACTTTCACAAGGCTGTGCAGCCCTCACCGAGGTCTTAGAGAATTCTTCTTCTTCTTTTTTTTTTTTTTTTTTTTTTGGTTTTTTCGAGACAGGGTTTCTCTGTGTAGCTTTGCGCCTTTCCTGGAACTCACTTGGTAGCCCAGGCTGGCCTCAAACTCACAGAGATCCGCCTGGCTCTGCTTCCCGAGTGCTGGGACTAAAGGCGTGCGCCACCACCGCCCGGCGAGAATTCTTATAATTGCACTAGGGTCCCTTTCCAGACTCAGATTTCTTCTCCCAAGGCTGAGGCACTACTGGTCCACTTGCTACTCTATCTGTATACTGGCTTTCTCCGGACACTTGCTGTAAGTGGGAAGATACAAACGTGGTCCTTCCCCTCACTTAGCAGTCTTTGGAAGGTTTATCCACGGTGTGTGTAGTAGCACTTCATTTTGTTAGGGTTGAGTAAGTCCCTGCTTTGCCATTACATGACATCTGTTTATCCAGGCATCAGTTGATGAACACGAGCTGCGTCCTCCACCTCCAGGCTCTTGTGAACAATGCTGCTGTGCATGTTTGGTAATGTTTATATGAGGACCCGTGTTTTCATTTCTTCAGGGTGTGTGTCTAGTTTTCTGTCCACCTGTTCAGCAGGAAGAGACTTTTACACACTCAGGCCAAGATCCCTCTGAACATTTAGAGAACAAATCTTGAGCTCAGACATGGCAGGTGAAGCTGAAACTATACTCCACCTTGAAGGCCCACTTCATTCTTGTGAACACTCTTATCCTTTAGAAGGCTGAAGATTCAATGTGGGCAATAAGGGAATTAAATATGTTGGTACAACTTCCTCCCTGAAGCTCCCCACAGCCTCCCAAGAAGGGCCAAACTCTACTCTAGTAGTATTCATTTATTTATTTGGTTATTTGTTTGAAACATGGTCTCTTGCAACCCATGCTGGCCACAAATCACTATGGAGCTTTGAACTTCTAAAATTATTATTATGAAAGTGTGTGTGTGTGTGTGTGTGTGTGTGTGTGTGTGTTATGGCACGAGTGTGGAGGTCAGAGGTCAACTTTTTGGACTGTGTTCTCTCCTTCCACTGTAGGTTCCAGGGGTCAAACTGAGGTCATCAGGCTGTGTTGGAGGCACTTTTAACCAGCTGAACCATCTAACTGGTGCTGTGTGGCCTTGCATTTCTGACCTTTCTGCTTCCGCCTCTGGAGTGTGTGTGCCACTATGCCAGGTTTATTTGGGGCTAGGGATGGAACCCAGGACGTCACAGAAATTAATTAGTCAAGCACTCTACCAACTGAACTATATTCACAGCCCTGTATATTGGTCATTTGAGACTGGGTCTCATGCAGCCCAGGCTGGCTTTGAATGTACGGTTTGGTTCAGACTGACCTTAAATCCTTGACCCTCTCTAGCCTGCCAACTTTCCAAGTGCTGGCACTACAGGCTTATATCATATTTGACTATTTGTTATTGTTTTGCTTCAAAAGTAACTTCTCTACTAACACCCTGTGATAATGCACACACAGCCCTGGGCACATCTGAAGTACTACTACAGAGGAAGGATTCGCTATGGTCTGGGTGGCCTCCCGTTTGTGCCCATGTGAAGGATGGCATATCAAAACACTGGCTTGCAGTCTGGCACCCTCTGCTCTCAGGACAGACTCAGGTGAGCAGGCAGCAGTAACATGGGAATATCTTAATGTTCTGACAGCGATGGAACCTTTTCCAGCTCCAGCAAGGTCACCCAAGCCAGAGGCTTTTGGGTTCTTGTCTCTCAACTTTAAAAAATGAAATTCATGGGCCACAGAAGGTGAGTTTTAGTGAAGGGTGGGTACAAGCAGGGAGCTGAGGGAGAAAAAGGCGGCCAGCTCCTGGGCAGCGGAGGGGTCTGTGGGAGGGAGTGGGACTGCATTGAGCTTCACTGCCTGGGAGTTAATGGGGCTTTAGTGGATGGAGAAGGGAGGGGATGATCTGGTCAGTCCAGTTCTCATTCCAGGTGTTGAGGTCACAGAAGTTTGGGTCATGTCCATCCTCAGTATGGCTTCCAGGAAAGGGGTACTGCTTTGGGGGAAAAAGATGGAGAGCCCCTTCTTGGCATCTCCAGCCTCTGGCCATGTTAAAACCAGAGACACTTTTGGCTTAGACACTTCAAGAATCTCTCGCCTCTGGCAAGTACAAGGCTCTGGACACGCCCAAGGACATTTTGGCTTTTAGTCAAGAAAGACTTTTTTGTTCAGGCTCTTTACCAAAACTAAACTGCCTAGCTAGTTTTCGCCTGTTATCAGCAGCAGGGACAGCTGGTCTTGGACTTGCCTCTCCCACAAGTTTCCTGAGTTCCTGGGCATTCCATTCAACTGGGGTTCAGTGACCATATTTCCACTCCCCTCCTTCACTTGGAGCCTACCAGCAGAGCCCTGGAATCTACTAGAGCCATAGCTTTCTTATAGTCACAGCCTGGCTATGAAATACCATGATGTCATGGGGCCATTCCTAAATTACAAGGTAGACCTAAGGATTGGAGAGATCTGAAGGTGCTTGAAGGAGACCCTGGGGTGGGGGTGGGGCGATGCTATGACCTGTCAGACCGAATAGGCCAATTTCTTTATTGGCAAGCTTACTACACAGGGAGATGGAGGAGGTTCCTACATGGGACTGATGGCCTGGCAGGTGTTTGGAATTTCATAACACACCTTGGACAAGAATTCAAGGGTTTTCAGCCGGGCAGTGGTGGTGCACGCTTTTAATCCCAGCACTCAGGAGGCAGAGGCAGGCGGATCTTTGTGAGTTCAAGGCCAGCCTGGTTTACAGAGCGAGAGCCAGGAAAGGTGCAAAGCTACACAGAGAAACCCTGTCTCGAAAAACCAAAACCAAACAAACAAACAAAAACAACAAACAAACAAAAAAAGAATTCAAGGGTTTTTTGTTGTTGTTGTTGTTGTTGTTTACTTGGGATTGAACCCAAGGCCTTGGTTTTGGTAGGATAGAGCTCTATCACTGGGCTACAGCCCCAGTTCAGTTCTAGTTTTAATTACCTTCCTTGGTCTGAGTATTCCTAAGCCTAAACACTAAGCCAGGATGCTCCGAGCTTCAGAATATGAGGCCAGGAGGCTCCACTGGGACGCCAGCCATTTCCAGGTCCCCGATCCCGCAGGGCCTTTCCGACGAATACGGTAGGCGATGTCACTTCTTCCCGGTGCCGGGCTCCAGCGGGGGTCCCTGGAGAGCATCTCTGGTTCAGTGGAGAATTCAGACAGACCATCGGCTTCTTCCGGGATTACCCCAGTTGCGCGATCCGGACCTAGGATAAGCAGCTTGGGGAGTCCCGGGACGAAGGGGCGGAGCCAGCGACGGCGCGGGGGCGGGGGCGCGGCCGACGGGTCACGTGGCGAGTCAGCCCAGTTGCGGGCGGAGCTGCGCGGGTACTTAGTGGGGCCCCCGAGAGGCCAGGTGCGGCTCGGTTCGGCTCGGCAGCTGCAGGCCCAGGCCGTAGCGCTGCGCTCGGTGAGTGTGCCCGGGGCGCAGTGACTCCGCGAAGTCACCTTGGCTGGGGTCGGGAGGCGGGCGGCTCGCGGGTGGCGGCGACAGGCCCCTAGCTCGCCTAGGGCGCAGGCGCGGTTCCTCCGCGGCCCTGGATGCTGCGTACCGTGAGTGGTCGCGATCCGCGGGAAGAGGATTCCTGAGCTCGGGCACTGCAGGAGAGCAGCACCGGCGGCCTGCACGCCCTTACGGCGGGAGCTAGTGACCCCTTGCGGGTCGGCTTCCCTCCGGTGGCCTTGGCGCACTTCAAGGGCGGAGCTGCGGACTTCGGGGAGCTCTGAGGGAGGAGCCTGCAGGGAAGGGTTCGGCCCTGGCCCTCCTGCCAGCCCGCAGGCTCCGGGTCTCAGTGGTACTCAGGGCGAGTATCGACCTGCATCTAGTGCAGGTTTGTGGCTTATTCTAAAGAATCTGCCCCGGCAACTTGCCACACACAAGCCCACGCAGTGCCTGGCACCCTAAAAGACCGGTCCTATTGAAAACAGAAACCTGGTAGTGGGTGGCTGGGGTGGAACCTGCATGGAGAGTTAAACCGAGAAACAGGAAGAGAAGCAGAGTGGAGTGAGTGGAGGATAGGGGTGCTTGGCGCTGCACTCCCTTTCTCTGGAGGGGTATGGCCAAGATGATGGGAATGTGGAGGGGGAGAGGTAAATGCAGGACAATCTCCTTCAGTCAGGGCCCTGCTGGCCCCGAAGAGGTGTGGGGTCGGTCTGCATGGGCAGGGTGTTGGGCATGCCGACCAGGAGATAGGTGAATTGGACTTGGTCCCCTAGCAGCCTGGAGTAAATGACTAAGCCCACCCTCACCTTGCCTCCACCTGACCAGATCCCCTCACCCATTGGGAATGGAAGTAGATTGTGGGGTTCAAAGGGAAGCTTAACACTTGGTATCTCCTCTGGAAGGGAGTGCCGAGGAGGTATGTCCATCTTCAGTCTCCAGGGTCAGAAGGGTAGCATGTGGAGAACGTTGGTGAAAGTGCTCTCATCCTCCCTCGCAGCTAGCCCTTCAGGGGAGAATTGCTTCTCCTAAGTTCTGGCCATGGTGGCCTAAAACTCCAGAGCTCCCAGAGTCAGGCAATCACAACACTTGGAAGGCTGAGGCAGGAGGATCACTGCATTGGAAACTAGCCTGGGCGACGTAATGAATTCCAGGGCAGTCTGACTAGAGTGAGACAGTTTCACCACCCAACCTTCCTTCATCCAAAAAAAGGACATGCTTGAAAAAAGGCACCCTGGAGGAAAATGACCTCTGCCCCTTTAAAAGCATGTGTCACGGGGCCTGTAGGGACTGCTGGGGCTTGAGGGTAGAGGGTGGGCTCATGTTTGTGCTTCACCAGCCCAGGTGGCCTCTGAGGCTTCTTCCGGCACTCCTCTTGATGTGGGCTCAAGTCAACCCTATTTCAGACTAGTCAGGCAGTGGAGGGTAAGAGCTCTTGGCTCCAGGTTGGAACTGCCCCATGGAGGTAGCTGATTCAGCAGTCTAGGCTGAGGCCCTTTGTAGTATGTATGGGTGGAAACCTTTAGGTGTCAGAGTCTCAGGTTGGCCAACTGACTTTTGATGGTCTGTTGAAAAGAAAATATGAGATATGTGTGAGTTTGAACTATATGCAGTGGAACTTTTGAAAGGAAACCAGGGACTTGAGTGTGACTGATGTGACGGGAGGTGGTGGGACTGGCCAAGGTGAGGTGGGTGTATAAACGCCTGTGTTGTCATTGCTCAGCTAACAGTCCATATCCCTGGTCCCGTCATCTCAGTACTCTCCGGGAGCTGCCTTAGAAAGGGTAGAGGATCCATCTGGAGTCCTTTCGTTGCCATGGTTTATATTCCGCCCTACATTGAGCTTTGGATGTGTCCCTGCTGCACGCTGGAAGTGTCTGGTTTATCTGTGGTGCTGAAATCCAACCCAGGGCCTTGTGCATGCTAATCGTGCACTCTGCCCCCGGACTATACCATACCCAGCCAGCTTTAGTCTCCTCCCCTCTCCATCCTTCTCAGCTTTTTGAAACAGGTCTTAGGCTGTAGTTCAGCCAGGCATTGAACTGGACAGCCGTGCCTCAGCCCTCCCGCATGCTAGGGTTATAGACATGAGCTATCATTCCAGGTTTAGTCCTTTTTTTCTTTTCTTCTTTTTTCTTTTTTTTTTTGAGAATGGGTGTAGCAGGAATCTTAAAGGTACTTATTAATAAAATCAAACCTGAGGCCAGGTATTGGGGTGAATGCTGGAAGATCAGAGAAGCAGAACAAGCCACAGCCACCTCACCTCGCGAATTCCTCAGCTGATCTTGTTTCCTCAGACTGGATGCCTCTGAGTCCTTATCTAAATGAATCTCAGCTGAACTGCTTCTTGAAAGCCTGAGTGCTTAACCAGCCTAGTTCCTGGTTTTCACGCCTTATATACCTTTCTGCTTTCTGCCTTCACTTCCTGGGATTAAAGGCGTGTGTCACTATGCCTGGCTGTTTCCAATGTGGCCTTGAACTCACAGAGATCCAGACGGATTTCTGCCTCTGGAATTAAGGATTAAAGGCGTGAGTGCCACCATTTTCTAGCCTCTGTATCTAGTGGCTGTTCTGTTCTCTGACCCCAGATAAGTTTATTAGGGTGCACAATATTTTGGGGAACACAATACCACCACAAATAGGTCTCATCACTCACTGTGTAGTCCAGGCTAGCTTGGAACTAGGTATGTAGACCAGGATGGCCCAAGCTTGACTGAGTACACAAACTCACAGAGATAAACCTGCCTCTGCCTCACCAGTGCTGGAATTAAAGGTATAGACCACCATACCCAGAGGTCCCTTCATTTTTAGCTTCAAGTCTGGACTTCCCTTTCTGCAGACCTGATGCCTCCTGGGCTCAGGTTTGGGATAGAGGTGGGTGGCTCCGAGGGGACATGTTTCATTGTGGTCAGTTTGGCTCCTAGGCTTGCTTTGCCTTTCTTGAGGGCTTGGGCAGCTGTTCCCTCCTTACCATTCTTTCCTGCTTCTCTGCTTGATACAGTGTTTCAATCTGTAAGTATTGTTTTATGTCACTTAATTATACTATGTGTCTTGTTCACCCAGTTTATGAGATTTGCTGATGTTGATGCCGTCAGATTTAATGTGTGTGACAAGTAAGTAGCCCAGCTCATACTCACCAGGCAGGTGAGGATTAGTTTGAACACCTGATCCTCCCGCCTACCTCCCAAGCGCTGAGATCCCAGGTGTGCACGCACCCTGTCATACCCAGGAAGTTTAGGTTATTAGTCTTTTTTTTTCTTTGTTTGAGACAAGGTCTTTCTGTGCAGTCCTGGCGGTCCTGAAACTTACTATGTAAACCAGGCTGGCCTTGGACTCACAGAAATCCACCTGCCTCTGCCTCCTGAGTGCTGAGATTATAGGCATGCGCCACCACGCCTGGTTTTGAATGTGTTGACCTGAGGGACAATTAAAATTTCCTACTTCCATTTTTTTTTTCCTCCTACCTCTTCACTCTTGCTTGTAGCGGCACAGTACATTCTCTTGGGCAAAGCAGAGGTAGGACAAATTGCTGGACGTAGACCCGCAGACCCACACACCTTCTGTTCTGCTCCATAACGATGACGTCCCCTCCCTCTGTGGCTGTGTCAACCTTCTCCTTGCAGTTCAGGAGCTCCTATTCCTGTCCCAACACTAGATCTTACCAAAGCGTAATTGTCAGTGTGATGGGTTCAGATGGTCCCTGTGCCTTCATTGCTAGGAGTAGAAATTCGAGTTTAATTCCTTGTCGAAGGAAAGCTTTGATTAGTGAAATGCTCCCTGGTTTTGCGGTTGGTCACAAGTCAGCACTTGTGCTAATGTTCATTTTGTTGTTGTTGTTTGTGGTTTTTGTTGTTGTTGTTTAAATATTAGGGTTTTAGCTCAGCATGATAGTGCACTACTTTAATCTCAGCACTCTCTGAGTTCAAGGCCAACCTGGTCTACATAGGGAGTTCTAGGTCAGCCAGGGCTACATGGCTATCTCAAAAAAATAAAAAAAAGTTTGAGTTTAGGATTGGGTTTTGTTTTTGAGACAGGCTCTCATATAGCCCAGGTTAGCTTCAAACTTGATATGTAGCCAAGGATGACCTTGAACTTAAATTTTATTTCTTTGCCTATGCCTTTTCAGGTGCTGAGCATAGGCAGAAGAAATGAATACATACATGTATGCCATCATGCATCTACAATTGTCTGAGTTCTTTAGGTCACAAACCTGGGTAGCTAAACTTAGCTACAGTTAGATGTAAATTCTAAATAGTTGTGTGTGTATGTTTTTATGTGTTTGTGGGGGACAGAGGTTGATATTGAGCATCATCCTCAATTGCTCTCCACTTCATGAGGCAGGGCTACTTATACCCAGAGCTCACTGATATGGCTAGTCTAGCTAGCCAGCTTGCCCCAGGAATCTTTTCTCTGACTCCCAAATGCTGGGATTACAAATGTAGGCCACCAAGTCCTCATAGCGTTTACTTGGGTATTAGGAATTCAACCCCAGGTCATTATGACTGCATAGCATTACTTTCCCCACTGAACCATCCCCTCCAAGCCCTAGTTTCTAATTTTGTAAATTCAGGAGGTATGTGAGGTTGGGGGACTCTGCAGATGAGAAAGTGAAGTCACCTGCAAGTCTGTAACATGGTTAGAGTCACTTAGGTAATGATGGTGGAAATTGACCTGGAATTTGGTCTCCAGAAGGTTATTGATGCCTACTCAGGTGTCTCCATTCGGGGCTTGCCTATGGTCTCCTTTCATGCCTTAGTTTTCCCCACCTGTGAAATAGAAGCCTTCTACAAGACAGGAGGGCTCTTTCCAGAACTGGTGTTTTATACAAGCTGAAGGCTGGGAAGGACCTGTGATCTGTGATCTCAACTGTTAACCTGTTTTTACTGGGTCAATGACTCTATAGTCTGGTCAAGATAATACAGCTTTCCAGCAGGCAGGGTGGAAGAGAATGGGGCTGATAAATGCCAAGTTAGTCTCCACAGAACACTAGGTAATATGCTCTCACAGCAGAGTTGGCTGCTCTCTGCCCCGCTGACCCGCTGATCTGACCCAGGCAGGAGGTCCTCATCCACAGGAGTCACATGTCCTTCTGGCTTGCCTAAGGCAGATGGTGCCGGCCAGCTTGTGCCAAAGAAAAAAACGTATCAGGATTCAAGCAGCCTGGCACCCATTCTCGACTTATTGATCCCCTCTGGGTTTTGGGCTATCCTTTGTTTTGATAATCACATGATAGAGTATACATCAGCATATAAGGCTTTATCATAAATTGTATGATGGTCATAATTTTTTACCCCAATTAGGAGACCAATTAAGGAGAATAGGTGTTGTGAGACAGAGTCTCATATTCGAGGCTGTCCTGGATTCACAGTATAGCCAAGGATGGCATTGAAC